TTAAGAGTTAAATTTTGAAATTACAATTCTAAAATGGCATTGGTTGCTCCACACAAATTAATCTACTACAATTATCTACGTAGGCTAAATTAAATATCACAATAATTAGTTATAATGTTTTGTTGTAATACTTTTATATGGCTACGCTAAACAAGTAAGTTCAATGCACCTTGGCAGGCTAACGTTATAAAATATTCATGTAATAAAGGTACATGAAGATTTTGAATTACTGCACCCTGAGAAAGCTAATAAAGCACTAATTACTTACCTGCAGTGAAGCTACTAATATCTTAAGAACGTTTTATGATAAATCTGTCACATACAACAACTTGTAAATAACACAATGAAACTATGTCAGCGCTCAATAAATAATTAATAAAACTGAACTTTCAGATTGTCATTTTGGCAATGGCGTAAGAGTATTGACAGGGGGGGGGGGGGTGCTGGTGGTTGGGCATGAAGGTTAATTAGGGGATCAACGATTAAGTGAGGGGCTTTATAGCTGACAAAATACTTGTGAAATGCAGTGATTTCACAGTAGGTTTGTATATAATGCACCACTGCGTGCCGGATGGGACAAGATATATACTGTACATATAACCTGAGGATGCTGATACATCCAATATCTTCTTAAGCATGAAGATCATTGCACAGTATAACAGCACATTAATAGTCGAAAGTTACTAGTCATTAGTTCTACAGTACTTATCTTCAAATATATTTGAATAACTTCTCTTTTGTCCTAATTATTGAGTGGAACGATGCAATCCATAAACTAATATTCTGCCTACAATACACTAATCAAGTGTTCTGTTACAAATATATTTGATTTGCCCACATATGGACATGATAATGTAATATTGTTAGTGTAAACAGAGCTTTAAACCTTTTTTTTTTCCACATGAGAATAAACTTGCACAAGGTAGATAAAACAAATTCACAAAAGAAAAAAGGTGACGATAGGATGACTTTGATATTTCCAATGATGTTAACAGTTTAAAGGTGAGTCAATTGACTGAGCGTTTAAGACAGAATTGTGACATACAGCCATAATATCAGCGCTGGTTCGAACGGCACGCTCACCAATGGTTACGGTGGTTAAATAAGTCTTCTTGGATAAGGGCACTAAGCTGTAGGTCCAGTGTACACAATGGCTCATGTGATGAACCTGTTCAGAAACAGAAGGAGCGTATACATTGCAGCCCGTGTCAGGTATCTTACCTGCAAATCCTTCTACCACACTACGTAAGCAAGATCATACACACTAGCTACATAGTGACTTGAGAAGAACAGTAAGAAAAGTCATGGACATGACATGATAATCATACAGCAGAGATGATAAATGTATCTTAAAAAATTTCTTCAATTTAAATGCAACTTCAGATATATTGTACTCTGACAAACTATATGAATATTTGCCTCTTTCTGTATTCATTGTACTGTACTGTATGTTGTCATTGTTAGTTATTTCATCTATGGTAATTGCAAGTAAAAGAATTGAGGAAAGCATTTAATGTAGTCTATACTCCTGAATTTGGTCACCTGACAATTTTACATCCTATTTCAATTGCCACCTAATCAGTATAAATTAGCACTAAATTAAAGGTATTTTCCATATCTCCTCCAAATCCGTGCTACAATACATACAATCTCACCGATTGATAGAGTTGACCTACTGTATATAAATATCTCCAGTAGCTTCTGCTTCCATTAAACATCTCTGTTGTTATGACATTAAGCCATTGTCGGCCATTCATGTGCATGTTACGTGAAAGCCACCTTAAAGCCAGAGTTTTAATTGTTCAGTACTGTATGATAGTCTGTACTGTGCTGAATTGATGTGTACACCACATTATAGCATATTGGTATAATTGGTCTCCATTCATATATTTGTTTCATTCCTTAAACTTTATCAATATCGGCCTGCAGTTGAAATTTTCTTCTGCTATACATTTTTCTTATTAATTAACATTACTTTTTTTCCTGTAGCTTTTGCCAATGACTGAAGGTTCATATTTGCTAGTAAGACTTTCTGGAGTCTTGCATCCTGAGAATGGTTTGAGCCAAAGGTTTACACCTAGTACCATCTAATAGTATTATGCTACAGTTTAACAACATAATAATAATAATAATAACAATAATAATAATAATAATAATAATAATAAAATAATTTCATAAAGTGATTTTCCAAAAATGATCAAAGCGCTAAATAGTAATATCAAAATTATGTACAGTAATTTGATGAAATGGAATTTAAAAACCTCGTGCATTTAGAGTACCATATATGTTATATTGCTTTTTATTCATTTAATCATTTTATTTATTTTATCAATTATAAAACATGTTATATTTTTCTATGTTATAAATTTTACTAAATTGTGCATGCTGGCTGTTCAGATTTGTTGAATAAGATTTTCCTTTATAATATTCTGTTCATGTTCATGTTATACAGTAATGTTATTCAACAAATTTTATTCATTTCATCAATTATAAGTTACCAAAGGCTAATTTAACACATTTTTCACGTTTGAAATTTTGTATTTTATTAATTGTCGAGTTTTAGGAGTGATGATTTGCCCTACTGTACCTGACGTGTTATCGTACCGTATACTCAGTACATCCCCAGGCTACTTATCTGGAGTTTGTGGGTTTCGATTCCCACCCAAATCACTTGCAAATTTTTTTCGCAAGTATTTGGGGACATAATGAGTACTCGGTATGATAAGTAGGTAAGGCAAAACATCACTCCTATGATACAGTATTTTCCTGATGCAAACTCACATCAATAGCATTTGCAGTACCGCGCTGCTACTTGGGAATCCGACTGAACACTAGTCACTAACTAGTTCGGTAGTCCGGTTATTATGGTACCAGGCTAATTATCTGTGTTTGATTCCCATCAATCACTTGTGAATTTTTTTCGCAAGTAATTGGGGATGTATGGAGTATTCGGTACGAAAAAAAGTCAGGCAGGGTATTAAAAACCTCACTCCTATGATATTTTTTGCTGATGCAGACTCACCACAAAACTGTTGAGCTATGTTTTCAATTTTTCTTGGAAGAATATAGCAATTTATATTACTTTAATTAATTAATTAATTATTCTGTTCATGTTTAAAATTCTCATACCAAAACAAAATGTATTTTTTGTGCTGTATATCATGTAATTAATGAACTAGTAGGGTAATTCATGTACTGTTTTGTATTTGACTTCAGAATAAGTAATGTTGACAAAATGCATTTCTTGAATACTATGTCAAAGCAATTGAAGGCTCTGATGAACATAAGTACCTAAGGGTCATTAAGAATTTGTTTTTCATTTTACAACAGTAGGCTGGAGGGGATGGGGGGTCAGAGACCTTTCTATGCTTCTGAAACAAACATTGATTAAAATGACCACAAAAGAATTTGAAAAAAGTCATCATGTTGTTTGTGCAAATTGAGTTTTTTGGTTCATTGTCAAAGGGAACAGTGTTGCAAAATCAATATTTTCTATGTACATTTTGAAAGGGTAGGAAAGGGGAGGAGTGGACAGTTGTAGAAAATGAGTATACTAGGCGCACATTAATTAAAAGCATCCTAAAAATTCTCAATTCTACCCATAAAACCAGCCAGATCTTCTGTGGGATAAGGGGACTTGACCCTCAGTACACACACATCCTTACCACTAGTGTTTGTAGCTAAATGCCTAGATGCAATTTCAGGCCATTGAAAGTTTTAAGAACTACCATCCAGATTACAGTCAGGTAAAATATGTTACCACAATTCCCCATCATCCTAACACCAGACAATCTGTGACATGTTCTAAAGTAACATTTCTTATGGGAAAAAAAAAACATTTATTAACCTAAGGGTGTATGGATATCTGCCAGATCATCAACCTTAACTACTTCTGAATGTATTTCATGTAATTATATTTATAGCTTCCATTCAAGTTTAGCAAATAGTAATTAAATTTAAATCACAAGGTTAATTAGCAAGCACATTAATTAATCATACGGGAATTTCAGCTGCCAATAAAATTTGCAGCAGGATTTTATCTATAGCCGTTCATACTTTGTCATGAGCAGGGACCCATTAAATTTAAGAAATTGAAGCATTTTAAAAATGGGTTAAATTCATTCTGCAATCAATATTTAGTGACATCTTGTTATAGTTTAATTTGAAATTCAAGACACCAAGAAAATAGGAAGAATACATTTCCCCTTTAAATAGACATATAATTCTGATTTTTCAAAGGGGAGTAGTGCAAATCCTTACCAACCCCCAAACACTTTGATTGATTTCAACAAGGAGGTATTCTCCACTGACAACATGGTCCATTAATTACTATATAAATTCTGGTCTCTAAATACAGGTCTATAGCAGCTTTGGTCTCTAATTAGAATAATAAATACAAGAGACATTTGTTAATATGGGACCACAGAAAAGTAGTCTTTAATTGGAGGAAGACCTGTATAACAAACTTAACTATACAGTAATACTGTACTACACAGCAGGGCTTTATTGAAGTAGGTAGCCGTAGCGAAGCCGATCAATGGAAGTAAAGAGATCTGGGCGGTACGAAGAGAAAACAAAAAACATAAAAAAACAAAAACCACCTACTACTACTACTGGTAAATTTTAAAACACCACCTGTCTTTCGTTCGTTGTTTGCCACAAAACTACACACTTTGGTAAGAAATATTGGAGACAACATCCAGATACGAGAACAAACACACACACAAAAAAAACACCAAAATTACTGCAATGAGTTGAGTTTAAAATTGTGTTCAAGCACACGATCTTAACACGTCAATGGAAAAAGTAAGTACAGTACCTGGTGGTGTGCTTTCCCTTGATCGGAAGGCACCTCCGTGTCACACAAAAACATGACAATGCATCAGAAAACGATTCTATTTTAAATAGCTCCATGATATCAACATACACATTATCCCCTCACGATTTAGTTGATAGTAAACATAGGCAGAAACATTCAATTTATTATTACCATTACTTACCTTGTATAAACCAATCTCTAGAAATCGTAAACAAACCTCTCCCCAACAAAACCCAAATCTGTTATGAGCGTGTGGATAGCAAGAGATATTGCTACGCTTGATTAATTCCCTTGTCTGACAGGCAAAGGAAAGGCCGATGTTTAGCATATAGAATACTTCCGGTAGCGCTTCATTGTGACGGAATGATCGGCATACGTACCCTGGTACACAAAATCTGATAATGATTAAGCAATTTAAAATAGAACGGATCATTTCCATTTAATTATACAAAGTCAATGTGTATATTTTTTATTTTATGTTAAACCTTTTAATTGTTATAAAACAATGATAATTCTCAGGATGTGTTTATATAACAAACTAGAAAGTAGTCATTTTTGGAACGTCTTCACTTTTTATTGAATTTACCAACTTGACGACTTAAATACATTTGGGTCTGTGATTATATTAAGAGGAAACCATAGATTTAAAGGTAAATTACAAAATTTATACTGTACAAGCATAGTAATATGCCCTATAATTTACAGTTGTCAAGAAGAATGCGTTAATTATTTTTGATGTAAAATGGATACGCATCTACTCAAATAAACGCCCTTAATTTTACTGTACTAAATCGTCGCTCACATCACGAACTAACACAATTAAATTCAATTGTGTTAGTTCGTGAAATCAAAAAAGCGCGTCAAAATACGCGCTGTTGTTGTTAAGGACTTTTTGTGTGGTAAAGAATACAAAATTGCTTGACAACCAATACGCACTCGTTTTGACGCGCTACTGTGATTTCACGAACTAACACAATCTACTTTGATTGTGTTAGTTCGTGATGTGAGCGACGAAATGTGGAACTACAACACATAATTAAAGTCAAAATGTGTTATTGCGTGCCATAAAGACGTATTGATCCCAACCAGGATAGAAAAAATGTAATTCTACTGGATTAAAGTTGGAGTAGAACATAATTAGAATGTGTTGAGACTGATGTTGCTTCTATTACATTTGTTTGCGGGCATTTATTCGAATAAATACGGTATTTGTTTATTATCGATACGCTACGGTATATTTCCTTAATTTCATTTCCTTTATTGACATTACAGTACTTTTATCTATGTTTGTATGTGTTTTTATTTATTTATTTATTTATTTATTTATTTATTTATTTATTTATTTATTTATTTATTTATTTATTTATTTATTTATTTATTATTTATTTATTTATTTATTTATTTATTTATTTATTTATTTATTTATTTATTTATTTATTTATTTATTTATTTATTTATTTATTTATTTATTTATTTATTTATTTATTTATTTATTTATTTATTATGTAAACGATGAGTATTCACCTCTTTTGGAGGTTATGAATGAATTGAAATTTAATTGCATTTCAATCTCTTCAAAAAGCTCATTAAGAATAGGCCTACATAGACGGTGACCATAAGGGTCATCTTAAAACTTACCTGTTCAGGCATAGATTTCTGTCTATTGCTATCCCCGTGTCTCGTTCCTCAGCCATAAAATGGTTCTTTTTTTATTCAGTTTAGTTTCGTTCGACCCATAATTTTTTTCGACAATATATGCGCTTTATAAATCGAAGATATTATATTAGTATTATTTCTATAGATAGTTTTATTACCATCCCAAACCTCTTCCTCCTCCCTATCATCATCATCGTCGTCGTTGTTGTTGCTGATGTCATTGCTGTCGCCATCGTTGTCGCTATTATTATTAACCCGTTATTTATTAGAAAGCCCTTGCCATTTTATAACGTTTGTTTCTGTTTTAATATTCTTGTCTTTGATAAACCGCACACAGACCCTATGTCTATATATTGACACACTAGATATGATTATGTGGATTAACTCGTGTGACTGGTTATTGTTTGAAATGGTAATGACACACACAGTATAAACAGAAATGAATAACGCATCCAGTTTTAGCATAATATGTCAACAAAATTTTTAATAAAGTTATCGACTAATTGCTTAGCACAAAAATCTATTTTAATAAATGTATTAAACATCTGCTTTGATCTAGTAAATTTATAATATTTATTAACGAACATTATAGTATGCATAATAATAAAAGAGGATGACGTCAACAATAACAGTACGTTTTAATGAAATAAATCACTTAACTTAACATTAATGTTGCTTAACTTTATGTGAATTAATACTTTGAACTTGTATATTGCCACAGATCTTAGGATCTGTGATATTGCGATAATTAATATAGATGACAGTTTACACAAATCTTGTAACCTTAGGCTAAATAACAATTAACATCCTTAATGTTAATAATCATAATGATGATAATCAGCAACAGCAACTGAAAAAAATATAGGGAAAAATAGTACAGTAATAATAATGAATGATGATGGTGATGATGATGAAATGATTATGTTAATGATGAGATGATTATAATTAATAACAATGACAATAATGATGACAACAATTAATAATATTAATAATACATTTACTGGAAGTATCTGATTACATATTATATTTAGATAAAATCATGTGTTTCATATAGAAGGATCTTAACAAGTCGATCATTAAACAAATTGAACACAGAAATCAGGGGCGGATTTAGGGGGGGGGTGGGGTGGAAGGTAAAAAAAAAAAGAAAAAAAGAGAAAAAAAGAAAGAAAAAGAAAAAAATGATAGCCCAGAACACCTCAAAATGAAGGTAGATGCGCCTATTAGATAGAATGACCTACCTCGTTGCTGTTAATATTCGAACAATTTTTTCCTTAAAAATTACGATTATTAAATCAATAAACATGAAAGTATTTCGAATGCCGACAAACACAGAACATCAGGCTAGTGTTTTCGCCAGCCTGATTGTTGTTTACTACTCTCATGTGCAAATATTCTTCCATTATGTGCAAACTCATAATATTTACTATGGTATACGTCCGGTTATTGAGTAGAATATTATGAATAAGCTTGGTAATGTTTTTGATATGCACAACCTTATACAAATTTGCATTACAGCTTGTATGATAGGAAAAGTTAGTAGATGGGGATGAGGTTAATAGTGATCAAACACACAAATGTTTGCGTTATTGTTTGTTAAAATCGTTTATGAATACACACCAGAGCATGTCGCCCACCTGACCACCAC